CCATTAACAAATCAGGGGTTGTTCGGGTTCCATAGTAGTGCAGGTATGTAGTAGGATCCTCTTCGCTGTGAATAAGGTCTAGAGGGTTGCTGTTAAGCATGTCTTCGATTTCCTTTCCAGCTATGTTTATATTCTTACAGCCCATCTAGTGGAATGGGCGTTGAAGTCTCTTAGTAATACGGTTCTATGTGAGATGTCCAGAAGATCGAAGTTGGGTCTATTCTGGGCTGGATTATAGACTGCGTATATCTTGAAGTGATTTTAAAGTTTCCAAACATTTAATCTGATTATTTCGCATACATCTTGTTTCGAACCCATACTCCTGATTAGTTCGCAATGTGAGGTGAGGCCTTCTTTTACTCCAGTCAAAATTTCACTTACAATTTGCCGGTCTTTAGGTAGAAGGTATAAGGTGTAACCCGGAAATTGGTAGTGTTTGAGGTTTTCATCCGTAAGGTTGGCTTCCATGATTGTGAATATGTTTCCCTGACAAAAGTGATTTCTCTTATAGTTTCATTTCAGGCGGAACATGATATTTTGAAGTCAACTGTTGAGTTTAGACTATTTTGCCGTATTAGTATACGTTGCCCAGGGTGCACCACGTGGAGGTAAGTCTATCGCACACCCCTTGACCAGAAATATAATTACATTTGAAAAAAGGGAGGTTAAACTTTCAATCTAATTGCTTCCAAAATTAAATATTATTACTAATCAGATCATTGTAATAAGTTAAATAAGTAGGTTCATCAATGAGGTGTTCCATAGTTTAGACTCAATTTTCGCTCACAATTTAGAAGGTCAGATATGGGTGTATAAGGGAGCTTCGTCTCCCACCGTCACAACATTTACCTCCCATTTACTAAAACATACTCTGTCATTTTACACTAGGATCTAGTTTGTGTCCATAGATTAAACTAACAGCTTATAATAGTTTCTAGACAATTTCCCACTCAATTTAACAATTTTTTTTCTAATAATTCGTGGCGATTACATTATCATTTGCAGTTACAAAGGGAACATTTCACCAAACTATTATATCGTCATTAAGCACTCATAAACTTAATTGGGGTAAAGCTCTATTGCCCGCCATTAAACCTGTTTGAAAAAAAAATTGAGTCAGATATTAAGTCAAATTTTATATGAAAACCACCTCCACCCTTCACGACTTTATAAGCACTGTCTTAGCTGACCGCATATTAGTATGAACCCTAATTTCCTTGGAACCGGCATAGTGCCCACCTAAATCCCCTCTCATTTCCTTACCTGCCTGTTTTACTCAATCAAAAGCTGATGAAACTCAATGAAATACTCTCGTTCTTTTGGAATTTACTCTGATTAATAGATGCTAATAGACTCCTTCATGTATTTTGGATAAAAAGCCTATATAATTTAATTTGTCCTACGTCTGGTCAAGAGCTTGTCGTTGTTTCCAGGAGAACTTACCCAGTATTTAGTCAATTAAAAGAAATTGTGAAATCCACAAGCTCTTTGTTTTCCTCTCTAATGTATCCCTATTCCTTTCACCTTACTTTACTTATTCCAAAATTTGGAAAATGGAACCTTCAAGGAATCGCCAAGAGCCAAAATTTCATCGAGATTTTCTCTTCTGGACTCAAGACACGTTATGCTATAATGTTTTTAGCGAGGCTAGGATGTACATTCCTCAACTTAAACGTCGTAATGGTGAGGTCAAGCTGAACTCAGACAAACTACATACTTAAAGCTCAAGCTCATTGGTCACGTGGTGTTCGAGTATTCTACATTTATTCCCCTACCATAAGCCTCAGCAGATCCATTAACACGATCCAGCTGAGCTTACTATAATTCAGAAAGTGTTAATTTCAAAATATGTTAGCAGGTTATAAGCCATTAGTGGAAAATTGATGGCCCAAATGTTTCAATATTTCAATCAGTAGTAGTTTCATTTCTCGTAGTTATTGTAAACTTAAGGTCCCTCCATTAATTCAACATATTCTAGTGTAAAATAGGGTATTTCAAAATATTTAGGTTCACAAGTCAAATAACTTAATCTGAATACAGGCAATCGAGGTTAATCTAACAACACCACACTTCAACTTATACCATCTGGAGGATTCCACCTTAGAAGTCAAACTTCCCGCATACAAGTGAACTGGCAGAAAACTCTACTAAAAATTCCTCAAAATTCGTTCTGTATTTCTAAAGTTACGGTAGCTTGAAAGAAACTGTGAGTAAAGAGAACAATTAACCTATTAACTTTAAGAACATTGGTCGTTGACTGTTTGTCAAATCTCCCTGTGCTCACGCCTTCGCATGCCCGTTACACGATCGGTATCCAGAACGGTTATAAACGCTTGTAAGATCCAAATTGCTTGCTATGGTAGCGTTCTTGATTGCTGCATGCAATCAGTGCCATTAAACCAATATACAATTGTCAGTTTACCTCTACGGAGGATTAGATTACCGTATAACTTCAAAAACGAGGGACTAGGTTACGAGAGTCCAAGTCACCTCCTTATAAAACATAGAAGAATTTCACGACGATTGGAAATTTTTTAAAATACTGAGTGGAAATAACTTTTTGGATGAAACTGTGGGACACGTTATCGCTCTGTGCGTCATCGTATGCCTTCATGTCTGCTCGCCAGGATTGGGAGGTGCGGCCGTACAACTCTGTGTGCAGGGACCGTACAAACAGTCGCCAATCATCAACCTCTATTTAACCTAATCCCCCATCCTGATCATGATTAGGCCCCCTACGTGTACACTTGATCCGCAATATACGTCCTGAATAAACGTATTCCGTGATATAGAGCTTTCTGAGAATAGTCAAGGTTATTGAGGTAGCTAATTCGCTACAAAACTTTCCCATTTCAAATGCTCAATTCTGTGACATTTATGTAGCCAACGTTGCAGAACTTCCAGAAGCAAAAATAATTGATATATTGCTTAATAATTTCAGTCGAAGAGACCTCCTCATGCCCTTGAAATACCTTAATACGATACATTTTATTAATTCAAATTATGGAAGAATAATTAGAAAGAGTTGTTCTCTACTGGTTGAAAATACATCACACTTCAACATGGGCCCTGGGTGAATATGAAACATTTGCCTACATATAACCATTGCCACCTAAATGTGCGGGGTCATTTCTTGCTAGTACTCTTCCAAAAAAGTCAAATTAAGATGGCTTATTTTCATTCCTTTTTTCGGAACGCCATGCCCAGCTTATTTTTCACTCAAATTTCTGATCAACGATGATATAGAATTCAGTGTCAGGGATCATGTTCTCGATGAAGAAGGCTCTTCTCTCCAATTTGTGAAGAGTGATATTATCATTGAGGCTGCCAGAACAGAAGCACAAACGGCCACGAGGAATTTCACTAAATTCAGCTCACTTATTAATTTCATATTCTTCCACAATTTGAATATTCTGATTTCTGGAACTTAGTATCATGGAAGGATTTAAAACATGCCGATTTTAACCAAATCGCTTAAAGACATAAGTCAATCGAGTCAGTGTAAGCATTTGAGAGACTATTTCATGAAAAGGAAACTGGTATTGCCATATGGGATTTCACTCTGTAATTGAAAATGAGCGAAAATTATGCGGGGTTAAATTTTGGCAAATTGAACATTCAAATATGGCAAGAAATGTATCCTCTCATTTATTTCAGTAGTAAATGGGTCATTTGGTCATTTGAATACAATATTCTCTAAATATACAAATGATAAATTGGGAAATCTTTCGTAACATTAGCCACAGTCTTTTGACCAGCAAAAATGTAGCAAATGTGCTCAAAGACAACACAAGTAGATATGATTTTAAATAATTTTTTAACACATTTCTTTTCCAAAGTCAACAATTTAAAAAAGTAAAACTATTTTTTTTTTGACTTTAAAAGTTTGGGTTTTCTTAAATAAGAGATATATACATTGATATTAATCAATATTTAAAATATTAAAAAAATTATAACCTACTACGCTGTTGATTTATTGTTAATAATAGAGTTCAAGCCCCAAAAATTAAGTATCTTTGTTAATCAGAAATAAATGGCTGACAGTATTTCACTGCTTCGGTTTCATATAAACATGAAAATTTTCCATTTCAATTTTCTCAACATTACATGTTACTGCCAGAAAGATTAAATTAACCTTTAAAACCAACGATTTGACATTTTTAAATTTAGAAACCATTCCAAACTCAGTACTTGTGGTAATAACTTAGGGAGTTACTTTAAGTCAACTAGAATATTCCGCACATGTATTTTAACCAATCACATGGAGACCTCGTATTCCGCCTTTTTCAATTAAGCTGTTAAATGTCTTTCCGAGCTCCAAAGCGCAAGCACGTTAAAACTGAACGTTACATTCGTGATTCAGATTCAGAAGAAGAGTCCCAAGACGCTTCAGTGGAATCCAAAAACCATGCCGGTTCTAATATTTCTGTTGAGGATGCTGTGGACTATATTAAAACTTGGCAAAACCTTCGCAAAAGACGAGCTGGTGTTAGCGCTGAGTCTCTTTTCGTTGGAAAGAAGATTGAACCTGAATTACTCATTGAAGATGATCCTTATAAATTAAAAACTGGTGGTCTTGTAGAAATGAGAGGCACATTCCGTAAGCCGATGAAAGATGAACTTGAAGATGAAGTTCGTCTGTCGAAGACATTTACCGCTGAAACTAACAAACGCGATGAGGATGCAGATATGTTAGTTCTTCCCTTTACTTAAACAGATTTCTGTTTTCCTTTTTAATCACTATTCGGTATTGCTATTTCAGGTTAAAATATATTGAAACAGAACTTGCTAAAAGGAAAGGCATTACAAAATCGGAACCAGAAGCTCCAAAGTATGTTGTTTTTATTTTGCTTTTCGTTCGCCATTTTTTTATTATTTTGTTTATCTAGAATAGCTTTCTGTCTTTTCCTGTTTTGCATTTGGTCTTGTAAATTAAAATAATGATTTGGAGAGGTTCATTTCTCTATAAATTTATACTCAAGAGGTGACTCTGTTTTCTCGAAATAGATGGTACTTACTTGTATGAGACAAACGATCTCATATTTCCTATGCTAAAGTGTTGTGGAGGTTTGACTTTTTAATGTCTGTTTTAATTGATATCTCTTTCTTCATTCATTCCAACAAAACCTGCTACGATTTGGATTATGCATGAACATAGCTACATAAAATTGATCTTTGTCCAAAACCTTGAAGCCTTTATGAGCATTGCTCTTGGTTAAACCTTAACTTAGTTGTCTAATTTGCCAGAAGTCATTTAAGTTCTCGAAATCGAGAGTTTACGTTACTCTCATTTTTATGTTTTCTGGTTGGTGAGTATTATATTAAGCCAGTAAAATTGTTGATTAAGTTATTTTATATGTTCCTTTTCTTCTAATAGCCAGGTTCCTGCAAGTGTGCTACGGACGTACGTGGTTCTAGCATATTGTAGTTCCTCGGAATTCAAATCGATCTAAATCCTAAGGTTCTAATGAATTATTTGCTAAGCGTTTAGTTCGTTCGGGATCTACCACTGAAGCAAGCTTTGAATTAACTTAATCCCATTATATTTGATATTATAACTATATTCGCTGTCATTTCTGTGTTTTCATGATGGCAATACCTCTAAAATCGATAATTCACCTTCTGGTTTCTATCCATTTCTACCATTTGCAGCCGAAGTGCTGTTCATTTTGTTCTCTTGGTGATTATGCTCCGTTATTTTGGGTTTTTGTACTATTTCATTCTGAGTCGTGTGTGATTGGCCGTATATGAGCAAGAAAATCTAGAGGTGTTAATAATGAAAATAATGATAATAGTAACAGTAATGTTAAAATTTCTTGTGAGAATACTAATGGATCTCTCTTTTTTCTCAACATCTGCTTTTATTTGATTTGGTTTGATTCACAACCTTGTTTTACTTCGTTTGATACTGGAGGAACGCCCCCACATATTGAACAGTTTAACTTTGTAAAACTAGATCCCTTCAATTTCGGTCTTTTTTACAAATTACTGCGCTTTTAAATTACTGAGAAATCGAGTTTAAATGATTGACTTTGAATGTATGGAAGAACCGACGTGGCTTAGGTCAGATTAGTTCTTCTCTCACCATAATGATTTCATTAGCTTCAGTTTCTGACGATCGCTTGAGTAGACCTAAAAAACGGAGGATCCTTTCCATCGGCGCTTCCTCCATGCTTTCTCCTTTCTTTTATGATTGTTTTTACACGTTTGTTAATCTTTTTATGACGTTTTTAATGCCATTTTGGAATATTTAGAACTGCCATCGACAGTATCTTGAACGAGATTCCTGAGGCTCTAAGGCCAAAAATGGGCCAACAATCTGAAGACATGTTATCCAATCAGATGCTCTGTGGTATTCCTGAAGTTGATTTGGGTGTTGAAGCCAAAATGCGTAATATTGAAGCTACCGAAGAGGCTAAGCAACGCCTTCTTCAAGAACGTCTCCGTCAGCGGCAGAAACAAGCAGCAGAGGACGCCGACTTAACGCCTTATAACATGTCTGTGAATTTTGTCCAACACAATCGATGGAGTAAGTTATTTTTTACTTAATTTTTATGAGTAGTGTGTAATTTATTCTAAGTAATTTTTTACATCGCTTATTGCTAAGAAAAGCGGGTTTATAGGGAAACTTGAAGATAATCTTTTGTCTTTGCTAATCGAAAGTCTTTTACATTGATCGTGGTTCTTAATCTACTTGTCTTATTGTTTTAATTTATATTTACTTTATGGGTAGCAATAATGTAGTTAAAAGTGTTAATTCTTGTGATTAGCAGATAACTACGTAGATCAAACGTTGCATAAGGAGCTCTCTGTTCAAGATGGTGACGCTACGGATAAATCAGGTGTTCCTGAATTGTCAGGCATTCTTGATCCACCTGCGATAGAAGGTAAGTCCTATCTGCACGCTTTCCATGCTTTTCCTTTTTGTGTTACTCGCACTATTTAACTATTTTTAGCTGAAAAGCGACGTTTGCAAGCAGAGAAGTCATCGGATGCGAAAGTTTTGCAACGATACAAGAACTACTTGAATAACAAGAGAGGGCGGTAGTGGAAGAAATATGCTATTTTGGGCCTTCGATGTACATTTACCTATTCTTTGTATTGTTTATTCTATTTACTGCATAAGTTCGTTTTGTAAAGTAAAGTGATTATTTGTCGTATTTGGGTCCATGGCTCAACCTTTGGTATTCATTTGAACTGGTGAATTTAATTTTACCTAGAGTAGGTGATTGGAGTGGGAGTTTTGATGCGTCGAGTTGAACCCCTACCTACCCTGCTTTTCTCGTTTTTTTGCCTGCTAAATCGTACGGATGAAGTGTTTGCAACCATGCCTAATGAATGAGGAAGCCACCCAGGGTTACCAATGAATAACTTGCAATCTCACGTCTATCGTTTCGGTTAGATTAAAGGCGGCGCGTTGACCAATCATGCCAGTGGTTGTGCATCGATGATCACTGACCTCACAACGTCAGTTTTGACGGGCGTACATTCACACCACTGCGTTGTAGGTGGACATCTTTTTTTATTAGATTTGTTCGGTTAGCTTCCATGCTAGTACTTGAGAAAAAAAACTGCGGTACGCCAATCTGTTCCAAAGAGCCCCTTTCACTTACCAGTGGGAATAATTGCTTGATAAATTTCATGGATTTATTGATGCTCCTTCAATAAAATGCAAAGTAAGGTAGAATTGAAAATCAGTAAGAAGAGGTACATGTAACAATGGTTGAGATAACGAGCTTGCACTCTAGACTCATTTGACACGTTGAATGCGGTGGCTGAAACCACTGAATGCCCGCTGGTGAGAATAATTTTGAGTTGCTATAGCAACAGTGCCTCTGGTATTCAAATTAAAGAGTTGAACGCACATTTTCTATTATTTCGAACCGCTATATTATATCATCAACAACGAATGCGCTGAAAATGGCAATAATACCAACTTTTGGTTTTCTTTTAAATATGCCGTATTATTTTTATGAGCGACCCACCCGTGGGTCGCTTCGCAGCAGATGGGGACCAGAAATGACCCACCTGTGGGTATCGTGTCGCATGGGATAAATGGAAGCATTTAAATTATCACTTTCATTCCGAAACCGTAATATGCTTTTTTGCTGTCTACATGGAACGTGGAAAATGAAAATCGAAAGTATATTGATGAAGATCTTCTAGAAAGTTCTTCAATACCCTCTAATTCCATTTTACCACCTAGCTGATTTTCTTTTGGTAATGCGAAGCGAGATTATTGGAGTCAACTTGCTGTTTTTTTTTACGGGAAGTGAGCTGATTTAAATGTCTCTCCGATCAAAGTCTAAATGTCTGAGCAGATATTCCGGATTAACTATGGGCGCAATAACTGCAATTATTTCCATTTGTTCAATATGAGTTTAATGACCAAAATATGTATTTATTTATATCAAATGGCAGGCATTTTGATAGTTTCATTAGCTCCTTAGGTAACTCCAGGCCTCACAGAGAAGAAATATCAAAGTGGAAAATATTCGAGAGGGGAGGGGGAACAGAAGAGTGTTTCAAAGACGTAAATGAGACAGTGCATGTAGAATTGGATGGAGTTAATAGCGATTGGGAAATATGCAGTTCCTTAAACAACGTCTTTTAAAGGATATTGAATGACATAAGCTTCGATTTCAACTCAAAGACTGGCAGAATATCTGCTATTCAGAGCACCGGTTATTCCATTTTAAACACAAAGTAATTATAAGGAATCGCCTATGTGGTAAGTGTTCGTATGTATTCGCAACCAAAACTTTGAAGTAGTGGTCTCATCACTGGTTTTCTTGCATATCCAGATGTGAGGATGGCAAACTAAAAAAATATTTATTTAAATCAAATGGCAGGCGTTTTGATGGTTATCATTAGCTCTTTAGTTGACTTCAGGCTTCACAGAGAGGAAGGAACATCAAATTGAAAAAAGTCGAGAGGGGGGGGGGAGGGAAGAGAAGAGTGTTTCAAAGATGTTAAAGAGACAGGCAGATACAAAGGTAGAAAAAAGGTGAGGTGAGTACTGTGGAAGTAGGAGAATATGAAATGCAGTGGGGCCTTGTTAGTTTGAAGTCAGAAGTCAACTGCCCGGTTAATAGACTTTTTGCCGTATGAGAATACGTTGCCCAGGGTGCACCGCGTGGAAGTAGTCTATCGCACACCCCAGGATGACAAACTTATATTCAATTATTTGTTTTAAACAAGATACGAATCTCACAATTCAATTTTTAGTAAACCTGAAATGTACGACATATGCAACTAAATGTAGCCTTGAATTCGAAGATTAAACTTGGTGATTTGGGAGATTATTATTTATGGGGCATTTTAAAGATCCTGATTTTTAAATGCCTTAAAAATAGCCAATTTTGATTTCGTGGTATATTTCAAGAATTAAATATATATTTCGGTTTCATTTTGTCATATTTTGCTTAAATTATAAAATATTATCAAATGTTTCTCTTTCCCACTTTTTATATTCCTTGTATTACACGTAATACACGTAATATTTATTGCTTAGATGAATCATTAAGTATAGAAACATATTTTGTCATATTCAAACACTGAGAGTGGATCATCGTTCTCTGCCCTAACTTTAATTCTCATAAGCAAACTATGTATTTTTCATCATAAAAATTGATGGAAACCTTCGAGGAATGAATGTAGACCACATTCCACCTGCTTGAAATCATAGGTAAATATATATTTTCACGATATTTGAACACTTTTATCAATGTTTGCTATTCGTTCTGTTTTAATCAATAATGTACTTTTAGGCTTTCAAGAATACACTGTGTAGCGGGCCGCTACACTAGTAAAGCCTGACTGACTCAGAAATTTCTGTGGCAGACTCTCCAACATCTACCTAGACTCCCAGAACTAGCTAAGCTATAGCCCAGTTATTGAGGGAACACACGCATAGCACGGAACACGTTTATTCAGTAGGGTTATTGTGCGTAAAGTGTACACACAAGCGGCTTAGTCATATTCAGCTTAGCTGTTTAGTTTTAAACACATGGCGGTTTCTGAAAAGAACGAGAAGATCCTCTATAGCCGCTGGGGGCAGGTATTGCCGTTCTCTTTACCCTTATTGGTGTCGGAGTAGGCACTTCATCTGTAATTGGTGTGGCGCGGCTACAAAGCCAAGTAGATGTTCTTGATAAGGATACAAAGGGTCTGTATGATACGGCCAAAACTAGGTCTGAAAAACGAAACAACGATACGAGTCAAACCAATACAGCTTTGCGAGGTCTTGAGAACCGGACTGCAATCCTATAGGATAGACTTCGCGAGGTTACACATATTTTTGGTCTTATCCATGATCTCAGGCCAGAAATTAACTCTTCTGCTAAGACGCGGCGGGTTTCCTCAAGAAATCCTCACTCAACAATCCTGGTCAACTTGCTCGGAGAAAAATTAAAGAGGCCGCATTGCAAAATGCACAAGAATATCGGTGTGGTTGCAATATACCCAACACTCCGTCTGGTTCATGCTCAGCTGGATGATATGGTCCTTTCAATAACATTCCCTGTTATGTTCTACCACACACGTCCTAAAATAGTAGCGATTAGAGCAGTTCCATTCAAGAATACAACTGAGACAAGTTGGATGACAATTGTCGAAGAGCAATCAAGGCCCTTTGTCGTTACCGGAAAGTTATACGGCCGCACGTCGTAGTAACGGCGCGCGAAAACGCGATAACGTGTCCCACAACTACATGTATCAAACAGAATTCATAGAACTTAAAATGAAAAATGTTGTTTTAAACAATTCAATCAGCAATTGAATCATTAAAATCCTTTGTAAGCTCTCCTATATATATCAGACCTGTCTATTTGGCAGTTGGTTGAGCACTGCCAGTTTCATTTAAAAGAGTAAAATCTTAATAGATAGGAAAAAGTGTCAATAGTGGCATATTTAAGTAAATTATCTGCCATTGTGCAATCACAATAATGACTTTGATTAAGAATCCAATGGATGAATCATAATTTTTAAGTAGGACAGTCAGATCTCCATCACACAATTAGCTTTAGCAACATTATTATTATATTATTATAATTATTATATCAAATGGCAGGCGTTTTGATGGTTATCATTAGGCCTTTAGTTGACTTCAGACTTCACAGAGGGAAGAAACATCAAAGTGAAAAATGTCGAGACTTGGGGGGGGGGGGACAGAAGAGTGTTTTAAAGACGAAGGTAGATAAGGTGGAAAAAGGGTGAGGTGAGTACTGTAGAGGTAGTCGAATATGACATACAGTGGGGTGATAGTAGTTTGAAGTCAGAAGTCACCTGCCAGTTTATAGACTTTTTTGCCGTATGAGTATATGTTGCCCAGGGTGCACCACGTGGAGGTAAGTCTATCACGCACCCCGCTTCAGCATCAACATGCGTCCTCGAACCTTCTGGAACATGCAGCAGGGATTCTGATCGCGTTGGTGAGCAAATGGCGAGACCCTTGAACAATCACCATGAGTCCTGTAACTAGTTACAGGATATGAATTAAAGTGTCAATAACGGAACATATCGAATGATCGAACGAGTGAAAATGCATTTATTAGGTCAACTGGTTGATTCATTGTCGAGATTGTATACATTCTTGAGGTCTCGACATCAAAATTCTTCCCAACGTGACCCCATAGGTTTAGTTGACATCTCACGCCTGTTCGACTGCATTTCTAAGGCAAATGGCACAGTTTAACATGAAAAAACTAAAATAAAGCCTTGTAATTGCATTTAATGAACTCGTATCGAAACTATAAAACCTTAATTCCTTCCTGAGAGATTCTGATTTCAACTACGATTTCTCATTTGCTGCTCAATTATGGACAATTGAATTGTGGCTAAACGACATTGAGTAGCAATGTATTTCAGCCTTAAAGGATTTTCTTTAATTACTATGACATATGGTGCAAAGCCGTATATGCTGAGTCATATTTAATTAGACATTTAATGCCCGATTTTCTATTAGAAGGGGCGTGCGATAGACTTACCTCCACGTGGTGCACCCTGAACAACGTATACTCATACGGCAAAAAAGTCTATTAATTGGCA